TCTCCCAACAAAGGCTTTACTAAGCGGTTACTAACACTCTTCCCGTGATTTTGATTCTCTGCCTCTGTTTATAAAACCTTATTCCAGTTTTTGGTTGGTTTTTAATTTTTTAACCCGCCTGCAGTGTTTTACTTCTAAGGTAAGACTCTACTGGCTGCTCTTCAGTGGAGTTTCCTTGTGTTATTTTCCTTCGGGCTTCCCTGCAGGGACTACTGCTTGTTCAAAACAAAATGGTAAAGAAAAAAAAAAACCTATAAGCAACTCTTCCTTGAATCCACACCAGCATTATGTCTGTATTCTGGCATGCTTGCCGTTCGTCTATAGGATATATTTTTTTGTGCATGGGATAGCACTGTTATATTAGAAATAGAAAAGGGTTAGAAAATAGGTTAGATAATTAAAGTGATAGAAAAAATTTCTATTGATGTGTAGTGGAATATTTGTTTTAAAGAGAATAAGGCTCTCGATGATTTAAAAAGAAAGTTAAAAAAAAACTGAAAAGAAACATGGAAGATTTTTATCAGTTGACAAGATGAACTTGAATAAGAATAATAACTTTATTGACCACTGTTAATACCTATTAATACCTCCAAGGTCCCTTCCAACTCAGTTATTCTTTTAAAACTGCCTTCTGCAATTGACCAATGGTGATACAACGCCGGCGGGATTGAAGTGATACTCCAGATATTTTGAAATTGCACCCGAGGCGCCTATAGGTCCTCATACGATCTTTCCTTTTTTTTTTTTGCCGCAGTTGTTTTCCTTATATTTGTTACATTCACCACCTCGAGTTATTTGTAAAAAACACAATAAAGGCAGATACGAATAAATAAATAATCACAAGGCTTGGCATGTTATGATTTTTCTCCAGTTTTTTTTTTCCCTCTTCTCTTCTGCTGTCTCCAGGTACCGCCACATCAATTATCCAGATTTCATTTTTGTCCTTCTTCCTGACAATTGTTAAGTCTGAGGTGTCGTATGGCAAGCACCTGTCTGTTTGAATTCTAAAATCCCAGAGCACATTATTATTACTTCAAAAAATTGCAGTTGCCAGTTCTTTAGCTGGATGTTGGCCTTTGTAGACATTAAATGCTTCTGATTATTATTATTACAGGCACAACAACATGAAACCACAACTGCCCATTGTTTAGTTAGTGCTGGTCTTCATTTGCATCTTCTATAATATTTATTAATATTAATCGTTAATAGTATCATTATTATTATTATTTGATGTTAATTAAGGACCGCCATCTTTCACGGAAGCTCAGCATTAATTAAATTTACTGTAAAAATAATTACATGCAGATCCATCAGGGATCAGAGGTTGACTGTTGCTTACACGGAAGCAATGCTGAATTCACACTTGGCTGGTGTCACCATCGCATGGCTGTTAGGAGAAAATAAATGCATCCCAAATGGACAGTTTCATTTAGAGAGTTTAAAAAAAAACAACAAGAAGAAGAAGAAGGGGGGGAAACGGAATGGGATTCTGAAGGATTAATGAGGCAAAGGAGTTTAGGTTTGCAATTGGATACAAACTGCAAACATTGTAAGTTGCTAAATCATCACTTAACCTTAATGTTCTATGGAGTTCCAATCACTCACAGGCCTGAGGGCCAATTAACCATGAGCTGTGAATGGAAGAACATTTCAAATAGGAGTGACGTGTGGGAGAATAACAGAACAACAGAGTTGGAAGGAACCTTGGAGGTCTTCTAGTCCAACCCCATTTTAAGCAGGATACATTATATAATGTTGGACAAAAGGCAATTTCTCCTTCATTTGTTCTCTCCTTTTTTAAAAAAATAAAGTTTTATTTGGGTTTTCACACACAAAATACAAGTAAAACATCTTTTTTGAAAATAGCATGGTCCCGGGTTGAACTTCTTTATACAGACACAAAACTCAATTTCATGCTCCTTTTTGTATTCTATTCCATATCTTATACTATTTTATATTTTCTATATAGTTTTTCCCCTCTTTTAATTTTCTCAATTTTATTTTGATTATCTCATCTCAATTCAAATCATTATAGTTATACTTTTGTCTGTCCTGTTTCAATTTCATATTATCTTTTCTCATTAAACGAATTTTCTCCTGTAGTTACTAATTGGAGTATGACACCTTTATATCTTTTGATTACATCCACTCAGCTCTTATTTAAACTTCAATATATACCTTAAGTTTATGACCTTCAATATAAATACATAATACATTACTTCCAATCGAATTCTGCTTGGCACATTCTTATAATACACACTATATTCTTTTAAAAAAAAAGAAAGATTGTAAATATATGTAATTATAAACCCTCATTCCATTCCAGTTCAGTTCTGATCAACAAGCTCAGTGTCTTAGCCACTGAGCCACCATGTCCACTTCTTTTCACTATAGACATACCCAATTCCTGCAACCGTTCATCGTATGTTTTAGCTTCCAGTCCCCTAATCATCTTTGCTGCTCTTCTCTGCACTTGTTCTAAAGTCTCAACGTTAATTCAATTTTGCGAAGGATTTCTGCTCAACGGAAGGACAAAGCAATTGATTTTCCAATCGTTTTTTGCTTCAAACGTGTATGCTTACCTCGATGTCGGTTCCTGCGTTTCCGTCTCCCAACAGATGAGCTATGCACAGCGGATTGCAACTGGCCAATCTCAATGGGTGTGTTGGTCCGAAAGCTCTCCTTGAATTTCTGCATCAGGGTCTCCACTGTTTCCTGAGACACCTCTGCAGCTGCAAGACAGAGAGACAATGGGAGTGGGAGGTTAAAGGGGCCATGAAGTGATGGCTCAGTAAAGTTCCATTCCATTCCATTCCATTCTCAAATTCTGTTCTGTTCGGTGTTCTGCTCTGCTCTGCTCTGCTCTACTCCACTCCACTTTCTACTCTACTCTACACTGCTTTGCTCTGCTCTGCTCAAATCTACTCTTTTACTCTACTCTTCTACCCTACTCTACTACTCTACTCTATTACTCTACCGCTCTACTGCACTTCACTCATTTCTATTCCATTCCATTCCATTCCTTATTCTATTCCATCCCATCCCACCCTACTTTTTATCCTCTATTCCATTCTATTCCATTCCAATCCAATATCTATATTTTCTTTCAGTGTAGTAAAACACACACAAGATCAAAAATAAGAAACAGAAAAAGGAAGGAAACAAGAAAAAAAATAACCCTTACAACTATTCCCTACAGCCTTGTTTAAATAACATATTTATCATCTTAATCTTTTTTCCCAATCTCTTTATCCCTTTTCAGTCCAGAAACCATCAAATTCAACTGTTTTCTTCTTTCACCAAAGTTCCCCATATAAGGTTTTCAGTCTTGCAAAAAATTCTTTCTTGTTTTTTTTTTTTTTTTTTCTCTCTCTGACCAAACTGGTCAACTTTGTCATTTCTGCAAGTTCACTTAATTTTATAATCTGATCTTTCCCTGGAAGTATTTGACGGCTTTTCTAATTTTTTTGGTGGGCCATAATCTTGCCACATTCATTCCTACCTCTGCTCTCAAGTTATCTTCAGCGTTCACCACGGAGCGAATCCATATTAATCTTTCCCTCCAAACATACCGCTGTCAACTTCACGTTTGCAATGAGAACTGCCAAACGCTTGGTTGAAGTATCCATTGTGACATGTGGAACCGATGCTGAATTTAACCTAAGGTTGCATGGGCACATGGTTGAGTTGCTATAGCCTTGAAGCAAATGTACATTAGACATGGTTGGCTTTTCCTCCCAAGGCAAAAACTAGAAATCAATTAGGCTTGGAAACCTGGAAAGCACCTCATTGTAGAAGTCTCCCTGGGAATTCCCCCCCTTCAAACGAGAGTTGCTACACCTGTTTGGTCTACTTAAATGAGTTTTGGTCACCATATTATTAAAAAAAAAGGTGTTGAGACTCTGGAAAGAGTGCAGAGAAGGGCAACAAAGATGATTAATGGACCGGAGGCTAAAACATATGAAGAACTATTGCAGGAATTGGATATATCTAGTTTAATGAAAAGAACTACAGGTGACATAATAGCCATGTTCTAATATCTAAGGAGCTGCCACAAAGAATAGGAGGGGGTCTTCAAAGGACCTGCCAAGAAACAAAGGATGGGAATTAATCAAGGAGAGAACCAGCCTGGAATTAAACAGAAACTTCCAGACAGTGATAATAATTAATTATTGGAATGGCTTGCTTCTAGAAGTTGTGGGTGCTCTATCTCTGGAGCTTTTCAAGAAGCGATTGGACAGCCATTTGCCTGAAATGGCATAGGGTTTCCTGCTGGAGCAGTGGGTACAGCTAGAAGACCTCCAAGGTCCCTTCCCAAAAACTAAGCCCGACCACATAGTTTCGTAGCGAAGCACAGGTATCCAGCTAGTATATAAATAAAATAAAATAAAATATAAAAAGTTCCAAGTCCTGTCTCCTCTCCTCCCCAACCTCCAACCAGAAAAAGAATAAGCAGAGAGGGGAAATGGTAAGAATTGGGACTTTAAAAGTCTCCTGCAAGAGCTCCTGAGATTATTATTGGGCAAGGGAAGATGAGGAACTGTGTTTTAGAAAGATTGAGGGATGGAGAAATCTGGAAGGGAAAAAAAAAAAAAGAACGAAAGGGAGAAAAAGGCTGAGCTGCCAGACCTTTGATGCCACCAGAATCTGGGCATGTAATTTCACAGGCTCTGCAGCTATAAAGTTTCTCTGATAGTATCAGCTTGCTAGATATGGTAGCAATTTGCCAGGCCTTTGAAGGCTTTCGCTGGTGGCCAAGATAATGCAGTAAAATTTCCCTCAAAAGGAGATTTTATTTAAAAAAATATATCCATGATTTGTCCAGGGTTTATCAGAATGGCAAGCCTGATTCTCGGAGAAGAAAGTCACCTAGCTAATAAGAATTCAGGGGTCGGAGAAGGGAGATAAACTATCGGCCATAATAACCTCACCACCTTCATCAGTTTATTGACAAGCAAATGTTCCCTTGGTTTTGACTATGGGTCTCTCTCTGTCTCTCTCTCCCTCCCTCTCTCTTCCTCCTCCACTTTCCTACAAGGAATTTCTGGTTCTGTAGTTTAGCAAGAGGGAGGAAGCGGGGGAAGGGGGGAGAGAGACAGAGAGAGACAGAGAGAGAGAGAAAGAGAGACCAAGGGACTTCTTCAGCTATGAGACTCTTGGCTATTTTTCCTAGGTTGTTTGAGCTACTCCTTCCTTCCTTCCCTCCCTCTCGCACATCTCTCCTTCCCTCCTCCCTTTTCTTCCCCTTTCCTTCCTTCCCTCTCTCCCATCTCTCCCTCCCTCCTTCCCTTCCTTCCTTCCTTCCTCCTTCTTTCATTCCTTCCCTCTCTCCCATCTCTCCCTCCCTCCTTCCCTTCCTTCCTTCCTCCCTCCTTCATTCCTTCCCTCCCTCCCATCTCTCCCTCCCTCCTTCCTTTCTCCCTCCCTTTCTTTCCTACCCTCTCTCCTCCCTCCCATCTCCCTTCTTTCCTCCCTCCCTCCTTCCACCTCCCTCCCTCCTTCCCTCCCTCCCTTCCTTCCTTCTCCCTTCCCTTGCCTTCCTCCAGCATCCCACTGGAAGGCAAATCAAGTAAGCCCTTTTCCTTTTTATTCTTTCAACCACCAGATAGATACCGCTAGGCTTGTCCCAAGTGTCTTCTTCTCAAGCAACTACCCCACTCCTTCACCACCATACCTACCACCACTGACAAGAGGCAACCGAGAACTCAAGAGTCCTCGCCTTCTTGCCCTGGGAAAAGGGCTGAGAATATTTATGCCTTGTTCGATGTCAAAAAAAGACAAGGAAGGCTTCCAAAGGCATGGTGTAATGTTGTTAGATATACACGAGCCAGCAAAGCAATAATCAGAAATAACCAAACTTGATTGTGTATCGTAGCAACCTGCAAGATACTGATAGCTCTGGGGAGGTGATTTTGCTCTCCCGTCAGTTCTTAGATAAGCCAATTGGATTGGATTATAAACAAGGCAGGATAATATGTTCTCTGGGGAATCCTTTCTTTTTCCTTCCCTGCTCCCAAACAGCCTTTCAAATAGGCTAATTTAAACAAGAACATTCCTCTGTCTGGCCAAGGGGAAGGGAGAAAGAGGGATGGAGGGTGGGGGAGAGAGATATATAAAAAAGCAGGCATATAGGGTGTGACATTAAAAAGCAACCCCACCTCACAGCTCTTTCTTCAAGCTCGTGGTTAGATTATGGGTTGTTGTACCTCTATTTTATTTGCTCGGTGTTGAATGTTGCATGCCTATGCTTTGTAAGTGCTTGGGACATGAATAAAGAAGATGGTTAGATTATAGACCGGGCAGACCTTTGTCTAAAATAGGGTCTCCTGCTTGAGCAGGGGGTTGGACTAGAAGACCTCCAAGGTCCCTTCTGACTCTTATTCTGTTAGACTAAATACCTACATTTTTAAAGGAAGGATATACTTCTATCAGTCTGTCAGTCTAACTTTCCACCCATTCATCCATCCACTCATCCATCCATCCGTCCACTCATCTATCCATCCATCCACTCATCCATCCACTCATCCATCCATCCATCTATCCATCCATCCACTCATCCATCCAATCATCCATCTATCCATCCATCCATCCACTCATCCATCCACTCATCCATCCAACCATCCATCCATCTATCCATCCATCCACTCATCCATCCATCCATCTATCCATCCATCCACTCATCCACTCATCCATCTATCCATCCATCCATCCACTCATCCATCCACTAGTCCATCCATCCATCCATCCATCCATCCATCCATCCATCCATCCATCTATCCACTCATCTATCTATCCATCCATCCATCCATCTATCCATCCATCCACTCATCCATCCAACCAACCATCTATCCATCCATCCACTCATCCATCTATCCATCCACTCATCCACTCATCTACTCATCTATCCATCCATCCACTCATCTATCCACCCCCTTTTGAAGTAAACCTCTTTTACCGTATTTCTAAAGCACGGTTCTCCCCTTCATTTGCTTCTCTTAAAGCAAATGAAGGGAAGAAGAACCATGCTTTACAGACAACACCGTTCCTTTTCGAGGAAAACAGAAGAAATGTACTTTTTCTGCTAATCTATTCACGAGATGCCTCCTTTCCTCTTAATTTTTCTTCCTTTACTGTTCCAGGCATTGTGCCAATGACAACCCTTATCTGGCATAAAGCAGGAAGAGGGAGAGAAAAAAACTCGATATAATCACTCAAAAAGTTAAATAAAACTGGAGGGAAGAAGAGAATCTCACTCTTTTTTTTTTAATAAAACACCAAAGGCTGGTGCCTGGCCCAAGGTCACAGCAACCAGCTAATGCCTTGTGCTGGGTGAGTTGAAATGCTACATGCAAACAAAGGATAAACACAGAAGCCTTCTCTCGATCAATTCAGGTAATCCTTCTGCATCAAGGACACCACTTTTAGCATCCATTTAAACTCTGTTTTTAAATGGGCACCAGTAGGAGGAGAAGGAGGGAGAGAAGAGGAGGAGGGGAAAGAAGAAAGGAAAAAGGAGGAGGAGGGAGGGAGGGAGGAAGGAAGAAGGAAGAGAAGAAGGAACAAGGAGGAGGAGGAGGAGGGGAAAAGGGAGCGGAAGGGGGAGGAGAAGGTAACATCATCAGTGCTACAAGAGAGTGGGGGTGTGTGGAGAGGAGGTGGAGGCGGAAAAAGAAGAAAGAAGGAAGAGGAGGAGGAAGGAGGGAGGAAGGAAGGAGGAGAAGAAGGAACGAGG